GAGACTGGTCGCGAATCCTGTCTCTATCATGATTTCCAGAGGTCTTACAAGAAACTACATTACACGGACCAAGAGTCGTCTGAAAACGTGGCCTTGAGTGCATCTTGCTCAAGATTATACATCTGCTTTTTGTGCTTGATTCTGTTGGGGGTACTCCAAGGAGGACAAGAAGTTTGAGATATCAGCCCATGAGTATGTGCTCTTCCTCTCAAGGACCCCCCACAGTCTCAGGGCCCGCGAAAAAATCCCATAGAAGAACGCAAGCTGCTTTCTACGAGCACAGCTGGTCTGGCCGCCAAGGCTTCGCTCCATTTTTCATTGGAGCCAGGAGGCAGTTTCGAGAAAAGAGCTCTTCTGGGGCGATGATGAGCTGGAAATGTGGAGTATGGATGACGTAGATTTTTTTCTGCAAGAACCGGGAGGCCTCACAAGGTCACCCTCAAAAGCGGGATTCCTTTGGGCACCCACAGGACAGTACAGGTGCCCGTTTCCGGAAACTGCAAACAAATCTAAGCACATGTTCTAGACAAGTGACAGCGTCGGCCAAAGCTTTTTTCAGCATGGCTGCCAGTGGCATACGACAGATTCAGCCAGGAAACAATTGGAACATGACGAGGCCGACCACGAGATTTCGGAAAAGCATGCGTAAAACAACTGGGCTGTCAGGCAACCAAACCTTGACGCAACAACAAGTGGCATTGAGGCATGAAGGCATAACTTATAGGAGGGCCCCCAAGCCGGGATCCTCCTTCTTTTGGCAAACTCCAACTTTTCTGAAGACACCAGGCGCATACTGATCAAAACGCGTCGCCGGTCCGTACGTACATCGTTTGCCATGTGAGCTACAGCCGACAAATTTCTTGCGGAACAAGTCGGAAACCTGATTATCCCCTTACTGCAAGAAATACGATCGAAAGTAGCTCAGGTGTTGCAAAAGGTGTGCAATGATGCAACAAAGCAATCCGCAACAGAAGGTCACGAGCCTTGAGGAGTTTGAAATCATCACCGACACTAGACCCATAAGCGATCAGCTGCCGCAAGTACCCCTTGCCAAGCCTTTTGGGAGTTCTCAATAACAGGGTACACCCTCCACTAGCCTCAGGGGAAATATACTCCTACTGAAAGCTTCTTCAGAAAGGGCTTCACATTTTGTGACTTGTAACTTGACTGGACCCCAGTAGCACTTTGTCGGGTTTTGAGGTTAGGGCTAGTGATGTGTTCAGGGTGTAGAGATTAGGATAGTAAGTGAATAGGGCTAGGGTTTCACATCTTCCCGCTTCACTGCGATTTTACACACTTCCCTAGTATGGTTCAGCATTGGGGCTTTGTTGACATGCATGCACACGCGCAAATAATGCGCGGGGCTTATAGGGTTTACTGCACGGTTCGAAACATGAAGTCCTATTGCCATAACTAGAGTAACTAGAGAATAGTTGTCCCAGAAACGCTTTGAGCAGCGAGCATCATCTCCCTAACCCGTTCTTCATCCAGACATGCATCGAAACATCGTTCCGCCCGTCCACGAGTACCAAAATTAGTATGATTAGAACTACTGCTAATATCCGTATTACTACTGTTCTTGTTGCATTTACGAGTATACAGTATACTACCAAAATTATTGCTGTCATTTTTATTGTTTGTCTGTCATAATAAAAGCCATCATCATCACTCCTAAAGTCCTAAAGAATATGTCTAAGAAGCGTTTGGAGTATTACAGTTGTACTACAAATTGGTCGAATTAACGCTTGGGCAGCTTCGGCCACCGAGAGGGTTGTCGATTCCCAGAAGAGTTCTGAGGCCGCTCTCAGCGCCGCTCCGAACTGCAAAAGACGAGAAGGTCGTCGATTACGAGCAGATTTCCGCAGATGCTCCACGCGCCAGCGACACGACACGCGCGACTGAAACATTCAAAATGCGCGCTCCAGTCCGAGGATGCTCCACGCGCCACGCGCACCTGAAACATTCGTTATCAGCGCGCAAGATTCTGTGGACGCTCCACGCACCAGCAACACGACACGCGGGCACACCGAGACGGTCGTCGATTTTGCGCATAATTCCAAGGACGCTCCATGCCGCGTCACAGCGCTCCGACACGCCTCGAACACTGAGTCTGTCGTCAAATCGTGCAAAATTGCGAGGACGCTCGACGCGCCAGCGCGATTTAGGCGATGCTCCCCCCGGCCGTACCCCGTGCTTCAAAACATAATGGAGTTTATATAAGAGACAAACCGCAGACGCGCAGATGTCTACGTCCCCAATTGGGGAATGCATGGCCCAGCGGCGTTTGACCTGGCCGTGACCACGGGGCTGCGGCTCGGGAGTCTGCGCAACTTGGACTCAGGTGAGAGTGAGCGGCCGGCTGCGGACTACGAGGCGCATAAACGTAGTCATCTCCGCACCCACGACCTCTGCACAGCGCAGGGCATTCGGTTCGTCCCGCTTGTGGCAGAGAGCGGGTGGGGACCAGCTGCGCTCGAGGCCTGGCAGGCGCTGACTCACGCCACCGCTGCCTGCTGGGGTGAGCCCATCGAAGGCGAAGCCAATCGCCTCTATATATAAGACCCTTGCTGTGTCCTTGCAGTGGGAGAACGCGTGTGCCATACCACTCTCAGCAATTTCTTGGCCTTCAATTGGGTCTGTCAAGTGCGTACATGCCGGCTTGCTGTAGAGTGCAGTTCCCAGGCAAGGAGACGCTAGGGTTGCCTGGATGCCCCTGAGTCCCTCCCTGGATGGCATGCCACCGTTTCAGGCCCTGGCAGACGCCAAGGAACTTCTCACCCCTGAACCCCGCACTAATGCGGAAGTCACGGCATGCAAACCCGATACCTCACGACGACCCGTCCAGGAGACCATCGTTTCTTCACGACGAAAAATTCTAATTCGAGACCTCACGACAACGTTCCGTCAGACCAGCATCAGATGCATTTGTCGCGACCTCACGCCAAACTTTCATCACATCCATCCATAGCCATCATCCTCTTCATCACATCCATATATCACGATCATCACACCATCCTACTATTACTATTCCTACGCCGACCAAGGCTTGCTCTGCCGGATTTAAAAGGAAAACCTGGTTATTGGAAGGTAAGAAGGACCCGGTTTTACAAAACCTGCTTTTACGGGTTGTATACAGGTTTTTACGTGTTTCGTACAGGGTTTTACGGGCCTCGCACGGGTCTATTATGGATTTTGCACGGGCTGGAAGTTGGAAACCGCGTTCTGGTTCCAGAAACCAGGGTTTTGCAACAAATGCTCAGCAAGTCCGCTCCTTCAGAATTGCCTGCTTTAAAACAGGTTCTGGAAGCCCCAGGTTATTATTACACCACCACCACCACCACCACCACCACCACCACCACCACCACGTTTTCCTATTGTCCTATTCGAAGGTCACCTCCTCTCAAAAACCTTTCGCCACGTTCCTGGAGTCTTTAGAGCTGCCCATTCAATTTGCGAGGAATTGCCCACTTGCACCCCAATTGTTGCCTGTGCAGTCTCTACCGGTCATTGACAAGCAGGAAGCTTACTAAGCATACCTTCTTCATTCCGTGATGAACCGCAGACTTCTTGCCCCTTCAACTCGACATTGGCAAAACTTAATGACCCTCATCGCGTCCACTTCCATGTGGTACAGTAACTCCTCAGGGTCCCCGTTATGTTCGGCGTTTCGCACAAGTGCGAGCGCGAAAGTTGACTTCCCGTTGCTGAGGAAAGATTAGCTTTTGGCGGCTTACTGGAGGTGTTGGTAAGGCATTTCAATAGTAGTGTTGATGGACAGTCTTTGGTACCACTGGGATGCCTAGACCAATATGGGTGGTGTTAGAATAATTCCATCCAAAGACCCACTGGGAATGATAGCAATGGTAGTGATACACGCCCAAGAGAAGCAAAAGCAATGCTGGACACTCATATCATGGACGGATTGAAGATATACCGGTATCATCATGGAACGCTGTCTTAACAGCAGTGGTAGTCATGAATCCTGCGCAAGGCACCCACCATTTTCAAAGTTAGCGTGGCCGCTTGGGTAGCTATGGTAGCGTGAGATGGGCGGTCTCTTGATATTCCAATGGCCCATTTCAAGGCTCTCTCTGAGGACTACCTGGGCAATTTGGGAAAACTAATTCTCAACTTGAGGGCTATGGACATACATACACATACATATATATATATATACATATATGGACATGTTGCCGCTATGGGGCTTGATCAGAAGATGCTGCTCGGCAAATTGAACTGGTGAACTGGACCCCGAGCGGGCTTAGGATGTGACATCCTTCTGTGTGGCTATTTCTAAAGATTGAAGGGCGTGTTTTAATGAAATCAATGGCCCTTCAAAAAGAGAAAGGGTGGGCAAGAAGATACGACTCAAATACATGGACTCTGACTTAACGGGGCCGATCTACACGGGATACGTGATTCAGAAACTCGCACCCCAAACTTGTCGGGGCTGTTTGGGAACCGTGGCACGCAATCCTTAATGATCATTTCGTGTTCAACGCTGGAAAAAATTACGAATACTGCAGTTGACTAATTGCATGAACCATAAACCTACCCTGAAATTGAGGCTGGGGCAGATTCAATGACAACAGGAAGCCAACAACGCGATGATTCATGGAAAGCCTCGGGCATAAACGCCGTCTGGCCTAGCAAGCTGACCCAGCGATCGATGCATCCAGCCAGACTTTGGAAGGATGCTTCACGCAAAGCTAGAACTTCTGTGAAGGGGAAACCTTGCACTGCTCAGGACAGCCATAACACTCCAATTCCTCGGGGGTCTGTTCAAGATTTCCTCCCTTCACTGAAGTTCGTACTGGCACACATATTATGACAAGAAACAATACATCCACATTGCTTGGATAGAGCTTTCATGTTAATCATTATTGTTCATCCTTCCCGCAGAAATTAACGGATTACGCGATCACTGTGGCCACTTTCAGGATCACGATCATGACTAACTCCTTCAGGCTGGACACCGATGTTCCCCACCTTGGTGACGATTACTCCGCATCCTCCTCCTCTTCCTCGGCACATTCGCTGAGGGACGGAAGCGGGTCTACCCATGTTTTTGCCCGCACCAAGCCCTTGCGTCTGGCTCGCGCTTCCTCTGCCTCCTCCAAACTCCTGCCGAAGCCGTCCCTAATCCAAAACATGATTGTGTAAAGCAGCGCGATGGCCACAGAGAGGCCACCCGTCAGGTAGAAGGGGGCATTTGGATGGACGGACTCATAGAGCATGAGGGAGGCGAAGCAAGCAACCGCGCTGCCAATGGATTCGCCCTGCTGCTTCAACGTCTGGAGCGTCATGAAGACGTTGCCATCACCAAGTGAGAAGAAGAGGGCCATGTCTGTGGCCGCTTGATTTGAGTAGATGAACACGGTGCCCATCACGACTTGCGATGCCACGGCCAGGGCCACATGTGGAAGCGCCATGCCAAAGTTGCACACGGCCCACAGGATGGTGAGAATCGCGTACCAGTAGGGCTTGCAGGTCAGGGAGTAATACCTTGGCGGGGGCCGGAGTGCTCCAGCACAACATGCCCCGGAAAGCAGGCAGAGCAGCAACAAGCTCAACCGTCCAAGCAGCAGCCAAGTGCATCCTCCAGCCTCGAAGCCCTCTTCCTCTGTTCTACGGGAACCACATCGGGCAATAATGTTCCTTGGTCTTTCTTGATGCCCGTAGAAGCCCTACCGAAAACATGCATGCATGACAGCCAAGATTCATCATGATGGCTCCCAGAATGTCGCCGGCGGTTTGGGCAACGCCGCCCCATGTGGCGGAGGTCCAGTTGTGCTTCTGGCGAAAGAAGATCCCATAGAGCGACCACTCAGTCTGGTAGGAGATGTTGTGGTTGAAGGCTGCCAAGCTGATGAGAGCACATGGGAGGTATAGGTCACGTGGTAGAGCTGCTGTCTGGGCTTCTTCCTCAGCGTCATTGTCGAAGAACATCGCAGACATCGCTGCCTCTGACACCACCGACGGCCGCACTCCTGCTGATAGCATGGACCTGCGAGCCATGAACGTAGCTGTCTCCACAGCATTTGACCCGCTGAACTGAGACATCAGCGAGGAACTAAGTTGTGATGTCGCGGAGGGACGGAGTTGATAGCTGGGGCGGTCGCCAATGCTGCTGGCAGCACTTGACCTTGGGCTGGCATTGGGGCTTAGGCGACTCATGCGACTCGCTTGGGACACTCGGCCAGAGAGGCGAGGCCGTAGATGTGAGGATCGATTCTGGCCAGCTTGGAAGGAGACGGCGGACATGGAAGACATCCGTGGGTTTGCCGATATGCGATTCTTGGCTTCGGGTGGGCTGGTCTGTGGGCTTGCAGACAACCGGCCTTTACCCTCGGGGGGGTTTGGGAGACTTGGCCTTGGCGGCGTGATGCCTTCCTCCACCTGCGGTGAGATAAGGGTTTTAGAGGCCACGGAATATCATGCTATCTGTCCATTCCCTTTCGTATTGCGTTTAAAACAAGTTCTGCTTGACACATTACTGCCTTTTCCTGTCAGCGTGCATGATTGTGGACATGGCTGGGGGCCAGAGTCGTGATGAGATCACACCACTTTCCACCATCACTACCATGACGAGGGCTTGCATCAACACAAGGGCAAACAAGGATGTTACTGATGATGCTACTGCCACTCCTGCCGACTATTGCTACCGTTCAAGTACTAGTACTAGTACTAGTACGATAATTACCAGTACGAGTCAAGTACGAATACTACTGATAAGCCTACTCCAAGTGCTACGTGAAGTACATACATATTTCGGTCTTGGGTCCTGGAGGTGAAAGTGTCTTTGTGTTGAAAGATTGCAGCGCGACAGTTGCCTGAAGAAGACTAGAAAAGTGCCTCTGCTCGGAAAGCGGCGGGGAAAAGAAAATCCACTGCTACGGCTGCCGCTTCTGCTCCTGCTGCTACTGCTGCTGTTGCTACTGCTCCTACTACTTCTACTACTACTACTACTACTACTTCTACTACTACTACTACTACGCTATCGCAGTGGCTATGGTTACTTCTGCAGAGGCCTTCTTCTTGGAGCTGTCCACGTCTACATCCGGAGTAGGGACGACTGTCACCGGGATGGCCATGTCCGTCACCTACATGGGTCCGAGTTGCAACCCCGCCACGCCAACCCGATAAGGACTAATTGATGCATACCCAGGGAAGTGCCCCGCTGAGATTTTCATGGGGGTGCCCACAACACCTTCTCAGATCTCCTGCGGCACCGGCAAGGGCAGGAGACCTTCTCCCGAAACTCTCCTAAGAATCCAAGAAGTGCTAAACGGCTAAGTTCTGTAACATGACTTCCGCACTCTAAACTCCAAAAACATTTACACTGTACCACACGGGCATAGCAGCTGTAGGACTCCCAGACTGCTGGTTCCGTTGCGTAAAGGAGGAGCTGTCCAGTCTGCATGGCGACATGGTACCAAACGATGCCCGGCCAACCAAGGTAGTCATAGATCACCTCAGCCATCATCATTCAAGGACAGGGACTCTTGCTGGCGAAGTTCAAGGGACAATATCAAGCTGAATTCTCCTACTGTTTGAAGCTCCTGTCCACCATTGATATATGCTTGGAAACCATGGTAGCATTGACAAGCTCAATTCAGTGTAATCACAAAGACAACTCGTAGCAACAGCCCGTCAAACATAACGATAGGGATAATGATTTGGAGGTGGTGGATTTGAGATATGCCACAAAAAGCAAAGGCTGATTCAACGGCTTTTTGCACAGGATCATTCTTTGCCCTCATCAGACATCGCTTGTGACTACCTTCCTAATCCGTTGGTAGACTCTGCTTGCAACTCTGTCAGCCTTCAAACTTCAAGAACGCCTCAGCTCGCATGTTTGAGACGTGTCCATCTTTGGCAGAGGTCTCGAAAAGGGCAGTGTCAAGAAAGAGTCTGCGGCAAGTGGGTTCTGTTTGTTGTCAGGCGACGATCAGGGCTGCGAATCAACAACTACAGATCGCTTCTGAAGGTGGCTGCAAATACGGAGCTCGCGTTTCCGAATTCCCAAAAGGGGCGACTGGCCCCTTTCTTTGATGAAAATGCTGAAGCAATCCCCGATGAAAGGCTACGTTAGAAAGTTAAGCAACCTCCAACAACGGGACGTCCATGAGACGGAAGTTTCTCAAAAACGCGCGTTCCAAAAACTGAGCCCCGAATTGCAAAAGATCGCAGGTGAGTGGCTCCCCCAAAAGTGGAGGCGGATGCAAAAGAAACCGTCAAGCTTTGAAGCTTTTGCGCTGATGCCTGCTGCGCCTGAGCCTGCAAACAATCTGGGGAGTTGTCTCACGGGAAAACGGTGCTACAGCATCAGGACAACCTTAAAATTGGGGGAGGCGATGCCCGGATGCAGTCGCCCTGCCGGGGCTTTCTTGAGACCCCCTCCCATGAGCCTGGGAGTCTCTGAAGTTGTAGAAAACCACAGCATCGTTTGCCAGCATGGTATCAAAGCCGAGGATGCAAATCATCTGAATCATGACGGCCACTTCCCACGTTTGGTCCATGATCGCGGGGATGATGAGAAGCAGGTGTGCAAGACAAAGAGGAAAGGCAATCCAGTAGCCCCACCTGCACACGGTCTGCACTGACCAAACACAAAAATGGGACACAATAAGGAAAGGACCTTGCCTCAGAATGGAAGATGCAACCACCATTCTGATGCCAAAGCCCGCAAAATTGCACAGGCCCAAGCGCCACAGTGCCCAGTCCTGCTCGATGTAGTACAGGGCAACACCGGACCATGGGAAGCCATTTAGCAGTCCACAGGTCATGGGCATGAGGAAGCAATTGGCGACATACCTGCAACCACTTGCTGTTTGCGACGTCTCTTCGTCATAGTCTTCCTGGCTCCCCTCAGACCAAGCACTCGTCCTTACAGGAGTCGCGCTGTCGTCTGCTGATGCCATGGCTGAAAAAAAAGGAGCTTGCGAGAAGGGCGCGCGCTCTCCAACTCGCAGGCTCTGGAACTCTACCAAATGGCCTTGAGCACGATGGTGGTGATTCAGGTTCGCTGCTAAAAGAGTTGGGCTCTTCTGATGTGTGACGCAGTTTGCAGCCCTTTATTGCGGCTACGAGCTATGTCTCAGGGCGGCACATTTGCAAGCTGCCTACTTGTGGGAAACACACCTGCGCTTGCACCTGCAACCTTGCAAGGTGGGCAAAGCATGTTGCTGCTGAAGACAGTGTTGAATCCAGCTAGCAACGGTACGGAGAGCACACCCACGTATGTATTTCAAAGCCCTGGCATACATTCTTCTTCTGTGTTCTCCGGAATCCACTGATGCAGCTATGAGCTATACATGCGGCCAAAGACGGGTCCTTGGTAACTTCAGAAAAGAGCCAGCAAAAATGTGCTAAAAAAAACAGCTAGTTGACGGGCCTGCCTCATTGGTGATTGTGCGTAGCGTGCAAAGCCTCACCGGCAAAGTTTCCACAAGACGTGCTGGAAAACGGATTTAATACTGGAGTGTTGGCTGTTCAGTTCTAATCGTGTCTGTTACAGCTCTTGCACATACTTGAGCATATTCATACCTGTATGTATGTATATCCATGCAAACAAGTTAGCAAGTATGTCGCATGCTGTGTGCCAAAACTCTCACAACTGGGAGACCTCTACCACAGAGCAGGGACCCTAAGCAGACTTGAGATCACTGTGACCAACCATGATAGCGCGTACTCCATTGTTGAGACCAGTACAGACAAGGTAGGGTACTAAGATATTCAATAGTACAGCCGCCAGTGAAATTCACCCCTTCACGTGAAGACATGTGTGAACCCCATCCCTTGTGATCTCAGGGTAAAAAACAAGCTAATTTTGTAACTTGTTGAGCGTACCCTGAAGTGCTCTGGCCCCAGGATTGCCACCCCCCCCCCCGTTTGAATATTTGGAGAGCTCCCCTACCACATTGCGATGTAACTGATGCCATCCCGCCCCCGCACACCGTCCTGCGTCTGTTTCCTTCCAGTCAACGCGCGTGAGTGCTGGCCAAATGGGCCTCATGTCAATCCTTCAGGAAAGCTTGTCTTTCTGGGGTCTGCAGCCAACAGCCGGGGGTGGGCGGGGGGGCGCGTCGGAAAATTAGCGGCTACATGTTTACTCCAAAGTCTGGGATAGAAGCCTTAATCACTCAGGAAACTGGAGCGCTTAGCACAAGGCAATCTCAACAGAATTGTTGGTACAAGTAACAAGAGCCTTTCACGAGCTGTTAGGCTCTCCTTAAGAGGGGCGTCTTGCCAACTTAGGGAAAAGGCAGGTGATGGTCTATCCATTTTGTACAAACACTGAGTAAGTCATGACGCTTTTGGGCTAAAGCTCCTTCTGGGCATGTAGGGCCAACGTAGGGGTAATGACAGGCAAACGGCTGGTCATCAAGCAATTTCAACAGCAAACCTCCGCTGTGGAATCCTGATCCTGGAGCTAGTGGCGCTACAAAGCATGCTACAAGAGCGGCACACATAATGTCAACGTACACCCACGCTGCTGGAAGGAACAATACTAATTGTAGCAAGTGTTGCACTTGTAAGACCAGTGGTACACAATAAAGATAGAGGTTATCACCGGCGTCTGCATCTGTGTAGCATGAGGCCAAACAAAGCTGGGCGAATCGAGAGAAACGATAAAAACTGCAGGCACGAAGTATGCTTCCATGGTGACATGCACGTTTCCGTGCAAGTAGTTTGGGAAGGAACTTGGCCATACACTGCTAGGTTTGCGGTTTAGCGAGGGGGTTTGAAGCAACTTGGGACCTTTATGAGATTGTTTTCTACGGCCCCGATACCCAAAGCAAGAAATTGCAACATCAAGCTTCGTAACTCTCTGCAACTGGTCCTCATCGATTTTTTCTTACATCCAAATTTGAAGACCGGGCCTTCCATCCTTGCCAATGAAAGCCGCAGCATTTCCACCATTGAATACGCAAATCGGCTGGCGTACCTGGGAGGTTCGTTGGTTTCTTCCACTGGAAAAGTGTATAGGACTTCCGTGTCAAGAGCGTCCGATCGGCCTTTACTGCTGTCAGGCCCTCTCAGCGTGTGCAAATACATGACCCTTATACAGAATCTCAAGAGGGACCCCGGGATCCCCGCATATTCCTTGTAATCTTGTTCTAGATAATCTAAAGCCCGTATACGCGGATGCATGAGTTCTGCAATCAGCGGACATAAAGGCACTTGCAATGGATGCTGACAATGAAAGCTGAGATCAGACTTGCCATTTGCGTGGCAAAAGTCTTCAGTTGATAGCTTTACCTCGACAAGGTCAGCCCGCCGCCTTCAGCTTAGCAAGTTCAGGGACGGCAACTAGCTTCGTCCTCGGAAATGCGCTACAGAAAGCTCATAGTCACGCTGTAGAATGAGGTTCTCTCATCCCGTAATGACCGTCAGGCTCTGGCCATTACTCACCCGAGGATCCCTCGAGTAAGGATAAAGCATTGCCCCAAAGCTCTCCTTGAGCATCATGGTTCCGAGCAATACTCCAAATACATCCAACACCTTGCATACTCCTCATCCGGCCTGCAGAAAATTGTGCCCAAACCCATACAATCCAACCTAAACTGCAATTATCCCGCACTGACAAGCTAAGCCAAGCTATGCAAAGGCCATTGGCTGATCTGCTGAGACCCCCACGCCATTGGCCAGCCAATGCAGGACCGATTCAATCTGCAAAATGTGTAGTTGAAGGCTTGAAGCTTATAGCACAGCTGACAGGGTTACTAAGGCATCACAGGAAGTAGAGAAAGTATGCTAGATTGGTGCCGCCACCCAATGTCTAACAATGTCCTGTGCACAGGCGTATGTCAGCAAGCCGCACAAGCATTTGGCGAATTTCGAGTGTCTGTGGAAGGATGAAACAAGGACCCCGCCAGCGTCGAGGGCAGCAGCGGGCGCTACTTTTGTTTGCAGGGCGTTCAAAGAGGGAGCTGTTGGCTCATGGCTCCGAAGTTCCCTACCTACTATCAAATTCCAGCAGGCTTTTATGAAAACTAGATGCTATTTCCCCTTTGTAATGCGCGGGGATTCTGAGGAACAAGCGTCTCCTTCCTCTTAGAAGACATGTTCTCCCGATGAACCTCCCCCACCTGGAGGG